GTCGCGCGTTCGAGCCCTCACCGAGATCACTTTTTGCGTTTTATTTTCACCCTCTAGCCGGGATTGCCATTCTCATCAACTAATATTTTACTTGTAATACAATTATACAGACACATGGTGTTATTGCATGGCTGAAACAACTTCAGGAAACCAACACAATAAAGTGCACCAGTGAGGGCTCGAACGCGCGACGGCGCGGTGAGCAAAAAGCTGACGCGCGGCGCGCTGACCACTCAGCCACAGTAGCCTAGTTGCCTAACTCACCCGCTAATATATAAACTCGTTTCAGCGTCAACACCAACATTTCGTCAAAGTATCGCAAACCATCGTTCTACCTTGTGCTAACTTCAGCGGGGCACCAGCAGCCCGCAGGGAGTGCAAAATGCGTCGGGAATCATTGCCTGATCCGGAGGAAGCTGATGGTTTATTCAGCTGAAAGGGCACCTTAATGAAACTGCTAACCGAGCCCTAGAATAGTTCTTACGGAGATGTGCCGAGCGGCAAGGCAATTTGAAATTGCCATCTGGGCCAGCCGCTCTATCGCGTTCACTCCTTCGTTACAGGGCTCAAAAAGGAATCTCGGTTAACCTTTTTGGGACATGACATAATACATCTACATATTAGGAAGATCTTTCCCATCTACTAGAATCTAGCATTGCCCGGCGTCTAGGATTGAAAGAGTAGAACGCGATACGAGCGGATGGTTTAGGAGCCTGCTTACTAGCATCATTAGCGTGCGCTATGCGACGCTATGCACCAAAGTCATGACATGCCACCGTACTCGAAGTATGCACAAATCCCTGTCATAATTGTTGTTGACTGGCCCATGCATGTACCTTTACTCAATCTGCATATGGTGTTCATCTTTCCAGCCTGAGATGGGTGTACATGGTTGTCATAGCGTGTGCCGTTAACTTTGACCTATGATGAATGTAACCTGCCTTTTAGACAAAGGGGTGTGTACATGTCCACTAACTAACGTGCATTAGTTATTGTGAGTTGTATTGACATCACCATTAGTGTGTGGTACTGTGAGTTCTACGAATTAAGATAGGGCTCATTCAGTTTCAGCAGGTCCCACGGGTCTTGCTAGTCGAATAAAATATTCTACGTTCAAAATTCACAGAAATCGCCGCCACAGATTTCAAGATAATGTACATTCCAAGAGAATTGTAGTTTTAGATTTAAGGAGTGTACCCCGTAGCGAGTGGAATTTGCTGCGCAGCACTTATCACACTTGTTGAAACTGAATGAGCTCTATCTTGCCATGTGTTAGTCACTGTAGTTGATTAGCATGGGCATCAGTTACTGAGCATGTCTTATCACTCTGACTTTTACCCATGAGCATGCATCAGTTATGGTGTATGGCTCTTCTCATTCCCATGTGCTAGTCACGGCGACTGATTAGTATATACCTAGCTATACCAATCAGTATACATCAGTGAGCACAACTTATTGTTTTCTTTATTAGTTACTGTGACTTATTATCGTACGCTCAGTTTCGCATCACTTAGTGTCACTTAAGTATTACACCGACTTCCATTTGTTACTGCAGCTTATTGACTGCTACTTCACGGCTCAGGCATGACTGATACTGGATCTGATTGCACTTTCTTACCGTACAATTACTTACTCTGATCCAGTGTGGCTCGTTCGATTAATCATGACAGTGCTTCATGTGCGCGCGAGCAGGATCGAACCCGCGACCTGGGCAAAATCCCAGATCGTCACCATCGACGCGCTGACCACTTAGCCAAGCGAGCGTGCGAGTCGAGTCCGCATGCAGATTTATGATGGAGTTACAGGAGCGCGTGGCTGATGGCTAATGTGATGTCATCGCTTATTCGGCCCGTTCACGTGACTCAAGTCCGCCAGCCAATCAGATTGTCTTTTTGACTTTGTCCTCCTCCATAGAAGATAATAGAAGATATGCGTTCTACGGCCCACGGGCTACTCGCTCACTGCGGCTGTCACCGAGACTGTTCAAGAGCTATTCGTGGCAAGAGCGTGAACATGAGCAGAGCTGCGTCCGTAACACGCATAAATATTGCCATAACATTCTCGGGCGTCAATCAGCCTTCCATCCTGCGGCCAGCTGCGCAACTTGCGACCGATGCGCGCAGCAGCATGCGTGTCGGGAGGTGATAAGCAGGAAACGATTCGGCGAGGGATCAGTAGGACTCTTCGATTACTGCCATGATCCTAGTGGACTTGCTCAAAAGCTCGCCTAGCGACATAGCTAGCGCTGCAGACGAACAGTCAGCTAGCCAGCCAACGAAACGTTCTCGCTTGAACCTATGCTCCCTCAGAACCACGATATCCGTGCTTCTGATATGGCTAGGTGCTATGACCGCTTTCCGCAGAAGTAGTAGGGCAACATTCAACGTAAATTCGTATCATCCGAATACCTGGAGAGAATGCTTATATCGGTACAGTGGGTGGGACAGCAGCTATCCAGCTCCGTTGCGGATATTCTATTTCAGTTCCCGATCAGCTCAAGCATCCCTGATGGAGAAATCATCGACTGCGTTCACCATTGGGACCAACGGGAAAATATTGCAGATGTCACTGGCGATGATCAGAAGCCTTTCTATTCCGCAATGAACCCTGGTACAAATGGCCATGGAACGCTGCACATTCCGGCAGGGAACGTCTCTCTTGCGATTTTTTCTGAGGGGGGGATATCACGGGGCGTTCTAGACGTCGTACGGTCAGACCCATAAACCGGTTTCATTAACGTTCATTTCCGCCTACGCCACCCCGTCCACATCACTTCTGAAGCGTACAGCTACGTGCCTATCGCGTAAAAATGACGATTTCACGATCTCGATTTCGGTAAGATACTCGACTTGGCCGAGCCGCTGCATGTATCCTGATGACGACCCTAGACACATGCATCGCGCATGCAACGGCGATGAAGCGAAGCCATATGGGTTGACATTCAAATCGAGCTCCCAGCCTTGCCCTACAGACGGGCGTTTGTGATGCGCCGATTCACTGCCGGGTTACCGTTCTTTACCCATACCTTCGCGGACTTGGCCAGCACTGTCGTCTTCGAG